AATTTTCACAAAATCAAACATTTTCCTAGTTTCCGGTATTGCTATTTTTGTACGGCATTAAGTCCAGGTTAATTTTTTTTTGTATAACCTATACACTTTAGAAATGCCATACAAAAATGTTTTGCCGAAAACCGCCCCCCCTTGGTGGATAGGTTTAGCTTACCTGTGTACTCACCTGTACAAACAAGAACGGACGGCATAGTTTCTAAAGTTATTGTTATATGTGGTAGTACTGATTTATAAGTAATTCATGCTGGGTCAATTGACCAATTCAAAATTTCCGATGGTCTTGTAGTCTACTAGTTATCAATCGAAAATTTGGATTATCTTTAGCTCAGTATCTATAATTTTGAGAGGAAACCCACGCCATTAATTGTGAATGTTGATTTGTCAGTAAATAAAATATTGTGATGAAAGATTCTGTTTTCAATAAGTTTCTCGCCCATTGTTAAACAAAAGCCTAAACGACGACCATTATCTCCATCGAGCAATTTAGGATTAAACACTGGTTTGAATGGATAGATTTTGTTGTATACTAAAATTTTTTGAATATGTGATCTGCTAATATCTATGTATTTATGGCCTTTCCTTAAGTGAGATCTTTAGATTGTCTTGTACAGAGTCCATAACTACAACAGTAGCAGCATCGTTATGATTGTATTCTTTTTTATCTTTTTAATATTCTTTACCTCACCAGTGGTATCGAATTTTATAATTTAGCTTGCTGCTATACGAATTACAGTTACATTTGGATACTTGTCATTAAAAATTTGTACCAATTGTATATCAATATAAAACATTACCGATTCCATAACATATCACAAGATAAATTTGTTGATACAGGGGATACAGGGATATAGTCCATGTGCCCACGTACAAAAACAAATTATTACCAGCAAGCTGTAACTGCGTGCAGCTTAAGTTTGACTGAGTTTGATGAGTCTCCCAAGATTTGACTACGAGGAAAATTCAACAGTGGTAAGTTTTCCCGTGATTTTCAGGAAAACATGTCAATCTGGCATAAACATGTGACTACGAGGAAAATTCAACAGTGGTAAGTTTTCCCGTGATTTTCAGGAAAACATGTCAATCTTGCATAAACATGAAATGTTATGACCAGCACTTTTTTAAGTTTAAATGAAAGATATATTTTTTTAAACCCCCCAAAAAATTTGTCCGACAAAAATTTTGGCATTTTGAGTTTGTCCCCCACCACAAATATGTCGATATGGTGACATTATGGTTGGTGACAACCAGCAAGCTAGTTTTTCTGGGAGGGTTTAGTAATAAGATTTGAAATGAAAGTATCTTATTGTCCGACAAAATTCTTGAGAAGTTTTCCAAGATTTAAAACGTATTTTTTTATCATTTTTAGCACAAGGTGATTTATAAAGGTAAAGGGAAAAGTGTTATGAGATACAAATTCTTTCATAAGCAATGAGGGAATTTTTATTTTAAATAATTCCACCGTAAAGCATTCCAAGCTTTTAAAAAGTAATTTTTTATCAGTTTTGTTAATGCAGGGGTGGGTTTTAGGGGTTGAAAGGGAAAAATTATTTTATTAGCTATAAGGTAACTTTTATTTTAAATAATTGCACGATTTAATCATTCCAAATCTTTAAAAAGTACCTAATTTTTTATCATTATTTTTTGCATAGGGGTAGTTTTTTAGATTTAACCCTAAAGGGTAAGGGTCGATAAGATCAAATATATCATAAAACATGTTCGAGAACATGTAGCATTATTTAATCTTTGTGCTTGAACAAGATTTTTATCAATATAAAATGCTTAAAACTTAATTTTTTCAATTTTTTTCACTTAGGGGTAGTTTTTACCCCTAAAAAACAAAAAGCGTCAATCGGGCTTATGTCACTTCTGAATTTGAACCTAAGATGAGCCTTATGCAAATCCATGCAGTTTCAAAGAATTCTGAGGTTACAGCTGATTTTCAGCTTCAATGACTGTACTAAAAGTAATTTTGAAACCAGCACAGTTCAGGTTGAAACAATAAGCATCGACTTTAACTTTCTTAGATGGAACATCCTGTATATTTTTACATATTTCTTACGATTACCAGTAGTATAAGTTTTACGGGATTATCTGTTACAGTAGGGAAGATAAGGTCAAAAAGGCCATTATAAGAAGTGTAAAAATATACAGGGTGTCCCACCGCGAACTGCAACGATCGATATCTAGGAAAGTACTGCTCCGAAAAATTTGAAAATTTGGCAACATGGCAATGTCCCTAGGGCGAATACAACTAAAATATGTAGAACTCTCCAGCGCTTCCGGTTATACCGGAAGTCGTTATTTTAAATGGGTCACCCTATATATTAATGCATTTTCGTGAAATTTGAAGGTCACTTTATTCAATATTCCCTATACCTAGGAGTTATAGATTTTGAGATATTAATTTTTAAAGAAAAAGTTCGACAGATGCAAGGGTCCGCGGAGATGCTAGTAACTCTTTTCAGGATCGTGATGTCAAGTCGCTTTTTGGTACCTGTAAAGGGCATAGGTAACACTACTTTATGGTATATTAACAAATTGAAACATTTAATACTAGGTGTTTCACTTTTGCTGTTATATTTTGATAATTTCAAACAGCTATAACTTTGTTAACTTACATGGAACACCCTATACTTTTTTACTCTGTCGTATGCAGATTGAAGTTTCCTTTCAACCCATATAAACATTGTTAGGGTTGCCGTTACTACTTTTAGAGATATTTGCAATTTTCTATTTTTTAGACAGTTTTTCTCGTATCAGACCTATTGAAATAATATGACATTTGTCAAGTTAGTTGTCAAATTATTTATGGAAAATGTGACAAAGTAATACAATAAGTAAACAATCAAATTAAAATAATAATCCCCATAAGGATAATTTAAACGATACCCAAGAATTTTTATTTAAATTGTCAAATGTCGTTATTTTAATTGTTTTGGAGTGTTTCTGGTCATGGTGAATTTAACAACAGCACTGATATGAGAAAGTATCCTAAAAATAGAAAATTGCAAATATCTCTAAAAGTGGTAACGGCAACCCTAATAATGCTTATATGGCTTGAATGGAAATTTCAATCTGCATACGACAGAGTAAAAAAATACAGGGTATTCCATTTAAGTTAATAAAGCTGTTTGAAATTATTAAAATGTAGCAGCAAAAACGAATCACCTAGTATTAAATGTTTTAATTTGTTGGTATACCATAATTTAGCATTACCTATGCCTTTTATGGGTACCAAAAATCCACTTAATATCACGCTCCTGAAAAGAGTTACTAGCATCTCCACCTCGATCTCCACGGACTCTTGCATCTGTCAAATTTTTTCTTTAAAAATGAATATCTCAAAATCTATAACTCCTAGGTATAAGGAATATTTAATGTTTGAAATTATTAAAATATAGCAGCAAAAACGAATCACCTAGTATTAAATGTTTTAATTTGTTTGTATACCATAATTTAGCATTACCTATGCCTTTTATGGGTACCAAAAATCCACTTAATATCCCGTTCCTGAAAAGAGTTACTAGCATCTCCACCTCGATCCTCACGGACTCTACCATCTGTCAGATTTTTTCTGTAAAAATTAATATCTCAAAATCTATAGCTCCTAGGTATAAGGAATATTTAATAAAGTGACCCTCTTTCACGTAGAATCCGAAAATGCAATAATAGATAGGGTATCCTATTTAAAATAACGAAGTTGGTGTCGACTTCCGGTATAACCGGAAGGACTGGAGAGTTCTAGATATTTTAGTTGTGTTCTCCTTAGGGACATTGCCACGTTGCCAAATTTTCAAATTTTTCGGAGCAGTACTTTCCTAGATATCCATCGACGCAATTCCCGGTGGGACACCCTGTACAGTGTGTATTATTTAAGAAAGCTTCCGGAAAATTCTAAAAAGTTTTATATTTAACATGTTTTCTATCTTCAAAGATACTTATATATTTAAAATATTTAATTTTGGCTGAAGTACTTACCAGTATTTGCATTTTTTTTTAATTCTATACAGGGTGTCTCATAATTAGCTGCCAACTCTGAACAGGGCAATATCTCTCAATCGCGTTGTGATAAATGAATGAAATTTGGTATACACAGCTAAATTTTGATGAGCAATTTGATGGACTAATCCATTTATTTCCACAAGGTCCATTGGGGTGGGTACGGGGGGGCCCTTGGTACTTTGCGTGTGTAACTTTTTCATCTTTGACTTTTTAACAAATTGGACAGCAAATTCCGTTTTCCCGAACTGTTTTACGTTAAAAAGGTACTCTTGTTTCAAATCGTTATCTTTAACGGTTTCTGAGAAAATCGCTCTTGAATTAATCCCACTTTGGTCAATTTCATAGTAATTTAAACAAAAAATAATAATAATAATTTTCCTTTCCTCTCTTTTCCATTTAAAGGATTAATTTTTATTTAATTTAATTTTTTATTATTATTTTTTTATTAAAACTAGATTAAATTGAAACAAAATATTTTTTTTTGTTTAAATTACTATGAAATTGACCAAAGTGGGATTAATTCAAGAGCGATTTTCTCAGAAACCGTTAAAGATAACGATTTGAAACAAGAGTACCTTTTTAACGTAAAACAGTTCGGGAAAACGGAATTTGCTGTCCAATTTGTTAAAAAGTCAAAGATGAAAAAGTTACACACGCAAAGTACCAAGGGCCCCCCCGTACCCACCCCAATGGACCTTGTGGAAATAAATGGATTAGTCCATCAAATTGCTCATCAAAATTTAGCTGTGTATACCAAATTTCATTCATTTATCACAACGCGATTGAGAGATATTGCAAAAAAATTATTTCTATTCCTCCCTCTTCAATGGGTCCCTGTGCCCTTAGGAAGTATTTCCGGACCCATGTTCATATGAACTTTTTTACTTAGTTTTGATCATAGAATCGCCCTGTTTAGGGTTAGCAGCTAATTATGAGACACCCTGTATAGTTTCAGAATAACTCGTTCGTACAATGAAAAAAAAATCATATGACTGTTAAATATGTAATGGAAAGAAATAGTACAAAAATATAAATAAATTATTTTACTGAGATATTTAACAAATATCTTTGTGCGTAATTATTATATCGTATGTATATCGAAAACAAATTTATCTACATGTTTCCAAAACCCTAATAGCGTTCGGTATTGACGTCTGGATGCTCTGGATGTGTTTTGTCCTTTTTTAATTAAAATAATTAAAGGGCAATGACATCTAGAATAACCAGACGTCAATACAGAACGCTACTAATATTAAAAACACAATTTAGATTTAAGAACTTGACTGAATATTGTTTAATATATATTTTTTGAACAATTAGGAAAACAATATAAAAAATACTACTGCGTTTCATAGATTTTATAAGTAAATAGCTTATTAACAATTAAAAAACTCTAAAATGCACTTCATAAATTCATTCTTTATTTTAGGAACTAGAATTATTATTATTACTAAGTTGAGGATAAAAAAAAGTCCCTTTGAATAGAAATTACAGTTTTTAAAAGGTCGTATGTAATACTATATGTTTTTAAAGCAGCAAAAAATTAAAATAGATCTTGATATGTGTTCGCAGTAGCTAAAAAGAAAATATTAATTACCGTTTGACCTCTGATATAATTTATTTGTCATGAAAATTACTCGGTGCATTTTAGGAATACTTCGTTTAACAAAAAGCAGTCTTCTCTTGAGTACTAATTTAGTAACCATACGACAGGCCCTTCTTCTGTATGGCCACCGATACAGCTGCATTTAAAAAATCCATGGGATCGCCTATGTCTAAGCTTTCGCCTTCCCCTGGATTGGAAATACTGGAGTCGCAACTCATCGAATCCCCATTGCTAGAACTGGAAACGTTTTCTTGCTCTTTAATTAGTTCGTTTTGATAGTTTTCGAAGTTGTCGAGTGTCGACTCTTCGATTTCGGGATTGCGGACGAACGCTATCTCCCGTTCGTCAGCGGAACTCGAGAATTGAACATTTCCGCGCGCGTTAGATTGCAACCCGTGCGACTGTATCGCCATCAGTATGGCATCGTCCTCAACCTGCCCGTCGTTGTCGCAGTTTTCTACAAAATCGGCTGCGTCGAACGGAGGATTTATCCAAGTCTCCAACACCGTGTTTATGGTGTTGTCAACAAAACCTCTAGCTATTTGCCTGGCCTGCCATTTTCTCAAATAATAATCCTGGTTCCTCGGCATGGGCGACACTAAAGTAACTGGTATTTCCTTTAAAATATTACAGTCCAAATTGCTCACCGGCACGTCGTCTTCATCCACGTCGCTGTCCATGATAGCCTCAGTTTTTGCCAGAAAGGATTCGATGCAACATTTGTTTGAACTACAACTTTCATTTTGTTTTTTTACGGTAGCCCCTTCTTTGTCGTCGTGCTTCTTATTGTCGACGCACTTTTTGTTACTGTCACTTAATCCAGCCTCGGTGTTGTTATTTTTATTGACAGTATTATTGTTTTTGTAAGTATCTTTCAAGTGATATTTACCCTTCACTTCCCAAACGTAGCGGGCCTTCTTCAAAGGTTTCTCGTCCTCGTTAGGCTCGTCCCTGCGAGAATGCTCCCCTTTGTCTTGGTTAGACATTGGATTTCGAAGAAATTTCGTTTTGTCCGCTTTAAAATTCTCGGGACAAACCACACACTAGTCACTTGATGTTTCCAATACTGTTAGTATTGATTCGAACGTGAAATGTCCACTAAACACAAAGAAGGTCATCGTTGCACACTATTTTTACGGGGATTTTATCTTCACAGACTAAATTTTATAAATTTAAAATATAGCTTCCCAATTTCTGTACTATTTGAGTGCTGTTTCAACCCTTTAATAATCAGATGTTTTTAATATAAGAACTAGTTGATTTTTATTTACAAAGAACTCTTTCTCTCACTCTAACTTATACAGTTTGAACGCTACACGAGAAAGATGACATAATTCGGTAGCAAATTCAAGATAATTTGATAGAACTCTGGTGGCGACATCTTTTAGGAAATGGTTGGAATCGTACGGTAAAGAGCGCGTCAATGTACCGTTCACTGAAATATTGTCCTAAAGATTTCTAACCTTACGGGAAAAAATGTAGTCCACCGATGTACCCGACTACAGATGCGCTAGTGTCTTCCATCTGTAGTCGGGTATAAAAAGGTGGAATCCAATGCAGTGTATATTTTGGTTTGCGAATGGACTACATAAATATGTAGTTCGCATTTGCAGAGGCGTATCGTCAGTTATGGCTCTTTAAACTGTAAAAAGAAATTTAAAATATATTGTTTATATAATATTCTCATTGATTGAATAAATACCTTTTCTTGAGAGTCAAGCAATAATTTTAAAAAAGGCTATTTAGATAATACAAAGTAATAAACCTCATTTCCTCATTTTAGTTATTTAGTCCTACCTACCTCAAATTTAATGAAATAATTTATAAGGTATATAGGGAGAAATACAAACTTATTTTTGCCTATTCTGGAATCTCTCAATAGAAAACAGAAAGTATTTTATTGATGCATTTACGTAATTTTCGTTGTGAGGTTACAAAAAATTCTTATTAAAAACCAAGGGTTAAAAATAAATCAAGTTCTTAATATACACAATCACATTTTCTGCCTAATACATCTGTGCACACCGAGTTTACCTCTTTTTCTATAATGCTTGGTGGACTTTCTAGCAAACTTAAAGGACGATATGTGAAAAAATTTTATTAAGGCACTATGAATCAATTTTATAAGGTAGTAGGGTTTTTTGTATACCTATACACAAATAAAGCGATTCAAATTCAATTTTGTACAATACTTTGCAAAAATTTTTAAAAAAGTGTTTGTTTTTATCTTGATCTTAATTTTATTTTTACTTTGAAAGTGCAGTTAGTTATTTTATCTGCTCCCACTATAGTAAGTAGACTATTAATATATTGTAGGAGGTAGGTGGATTTTACCGTAGAAGTGAAAGTTGCTATGGACAACGGAAAGGTAAGTGAGGTAACTTACCTCCATAGGGAAAAAAGCGATTTCGAGTTATAAATGCATATTTTATGAATAAATAAATAGAAATATCTGATAAACTACATTTTATTAATTATTATGAATGAATATTTATAGTAATTAATAATAATAATAATTATTATTTATTTCCTTCAAGTTAACATTTTCTGCAATTTACTATCGATATGATGATGTATACAAACAAATAATTATTATAAAATAAGTTCACGAGTAACTTACAACTAACATGTCAATACAATTTCCCTTTCGGAAACAAATTGAAACCCCATGTAGTCAAGACTTTTTTGGGGAATATCTGCTAGAATTGACACTTATTTACACAGTAAAATATATCTATATTTACATAATGAAGAAAAAAGAAAAAGAAGATTTGAGAATGAAAATTACATAATGGGAAAAAAATGAGTTGAAAATGAAAGCAGTATAAAGGATAAAATATATTCACATGCATATTTTTTTTCTTTTTTCTTTTAATAGCTACCTTCATAACAATTTTTTAGATCAATAAGATTATGAATAGCAGTTCTAGACATATCTTGAATCCATATTTTCACTTTGTTTTTAAATAATTTATTAGTTCGAATGTTTCTTACAGAACTAGGAAGATTTGAATATATACGAGGTGCAATAAAATAGTACGATCTCTGACTAATTGTTTTTTTGCTTTAGCTACCTTTATCTCCTTCGCTTCTCTATGTCGCGTATCAGGTAAATGTCCTATGAAAGTTAAATTATATTTATTTTTATGCTGGAGACACAAAACCCTATAAGAGTATAACTGTTTAATATAAAATGTGTTAGATTCTTTGTATAACTCCTCAGTAGAGTATACTCTAGGTTTGTTGTAGATAATTTTGATGAAATGTTTTTGTATTATTTCTAGTTGTTTTATGTAACAGTTATAAATTCCACCCCACCCTGCTATTCCATACTGAATATGCGATTCAACTAAGGAGTGATATGTTATTTTTAACTCATTCAAATGCAATAAACTTTTTGTACAGTTATTACATTTAGTAACATTTATAAAATCTGGATAATTATTCCCTTAGCATTTACTAATTGTCACATTTTTCTCAAAATGATTTGACTGCTCCATTTCAGTCACCGCATGATGCGATGTACTACTAGAACCTGGAGTTGAAGTGTCATTGTAAAGAATTCTGTTGGCTACTTCATTTTTGTTACTTCAACTGCCAGCAACATAACTTTCTGCAATTGTGTCTGATTTCCACCCACCATGTCTTTTGATTGCTAATACATCAACTGCTGTACTAGCCAGTAACGTTGCCTATGTTCTTCAGAATGAATGGCCTGTATAGGTTTCAGGATGTTCTAGTTTCAAAAACTGAGCAATCGTATTAGGAATCATTGAGAGGGTATTCTTTCCGACTCGTTGGTTGTAACATCTATCTGCTATAGCGCATAAGAAAGCGTGAAATTTATACCCTTCTGGTATTTTTCCTAAAATTTTAAAGGAAGTAAGCTCGAAGATGCTTCTCAAGCGGCATTTAAAATGTCATCAGAACAATTTTCTAAATTGTTTTCAATAGCAAAACTCATTTGTACAATTAATATACAGGGTGTGCCATTTAACACTCCTGCCAATATTTCTGAAATGAAGTAATTTATTTTAGTTCCGGATATTGGGGTTGTTAGGTCCCTCGAATAGCCTCAAATTGTAGTTAGAAGTATTACTTCAAATCTTTCTGTATAGATGGCGTGACGATACTAAAAATTTTCTTGATCCCTGGAACGTGGAAATACAGTCCATCTGAAAGATCGTTAAATTTTGAGTAATAAATTATAAAAAAAAACAAATGATCAACTACTGAAAAAAAAAAAATTGTACAGTGGTAAATCGTATATCTAGTATAGTTAAAGTGGAAGACGCAAACTGATAAAACTGTAATTATTGGAAAACTAATATGTGTCATCTGTAATTGTTTTTTTTTAAACAAATGATATGAGCCGCCTATGACTGCATTTTTTAATAACATATTTTTTTTGATAAAATGCGCTTCGTCTCTGCCCCGTATAAGATTTACAATTGTACAATTTTTTTTCTGTAGTTAATCATTCGTTTTTTATATAATTTATTGTTTGTTAGTTTGTGATGTGGATAAAGCCATTATAACAATATTTTAAAGGAATATTTTGTCTCAGTGTGATTTAAAAAAAAATAAAGTTTTTTCTGTATCATTCATTGCATTTGAAGTCGACATATCTCGAAAACAAGTAAATATAGGGAAAAACTTTATATTACAAAAATTACTCAAAATTTAACGATCTTTCAGATGGACTGTATTTCCATGTTCCAGCGATGAAAACATTTTTTAGTATCGCCACGCCGTCTATACAGAAGGATTTCAACTAACAATTCTAACTACAATTCGAAGAAGCTATTCGAGGGACCTAACAATCCCAATTTCCGGAACTAAAATAAATTTCTTCATTTCGGAGATACTGGCAGCGGAGTGTTAGACTGCATACCCTGTATATCTTAGAATCAATTAAAGAGTGTTTTTAGTTAAAAAATTAGAACTGACTTTCAAAAATGACTATGCAGTGGCGGCTGAAAAAAGTGGTATGTATTATTGTGTATAATTTTTAGACTCACAAAGAGAAATTTCGCCATTTTCGTTCGGAATATTTGTAAAATAAGATATTAAAATGGGGGTAATCACCCAGGGATCTAGAAAAAAGGTGCATTGAATCTTTCTAAAATTCTGCTGGTGGTGTACTCTATCGGCAATTCAGAAATTTAACTGCTATCCTATTTCAGGCACTGTCTGGAGCAATAACTATTTGTGTGTTTAGGCTTTACGAATCCTGTTGCAAGAAATCTATAAACAATTACAAAAAAAAATCTATAGAACCCTTCACCCAGTATTTATGAAAATAACGTTTTTAAAATAGGTTTCTTTACAATATACCCGTGTTAAGAACAGAAAACACTGCGAACTTCTTAACTCATTTGAAAATAGAAGCAGATAACAACAAACTGTATAACCAACCCCGTCTGTAATTCTATTACTCACTGACAGATGGCGAGAGTGTGCAATGGTGGCTTTCCCACTCCACTTAAGAAATCCATAGATATAGATTAAAATTCCTACAGACCTAATAATAATTTAGAAATAAGAAACAGAAAAAGAAAAGCGATTGAAATGTTTGAACTATACAGCTTATCCCACAATAACTAAACAATAATGTAAGGATCTTTACTAGGTACTTCAGTAACTGTTGAATAACTATTACATTATAAGCGCTAATCTCAAACCAACTAATAAATTTTAAGTCAATGGTTTTAAGTATACAAAAATAAACACGTTATTTTTAATAATCGATATGCTTGAACATAAAATAATAATATATTAACAACTAAACCCATGAACATTGCAAGAAATGGTAAGATGTTTTTATTTAAAATTTTCAAAACATTAATTTCATATAAAAAATTAAATGTTTTTAAATGTGTAGCTTTATTAAAACAGAGGAAAAAGTTAACAACGAGATCTAAATGAATACGGAATCGATATACAATCAAAGAAAATCAGTTACCATAATCTCGTGAAGAATAACATCAACGTCACAGTAACGCCGTTGTACTGCAGTTGGTACAGCAGAAGCTAGAAGCGTTTTAGCTTTTACCAATTACTGGTGGTAATACAAGGACCAATCAGACAACAGTATTTTTGACAGAACAGCACAAAACATACAATACAGAAATTATGGGCGTGGCTTATCTCATACTAGGTCACAAGATTTTCAACCTTTAGGATTCATGTTTGTTTACATGCGACTTAACTAGTAATTTTGCATTTTTTCAAGTATTTAAGTAAATGTTTCATAGTTGCTTGG